TTCCCCGCCGAAACCTCCACGGGGCCGTAAGTGATACTCGGTCGCGCGGGAGTTGAATTTAAAATTACAGGATTATATGTGGACAGAAGACATTAACATAAAATTTCAGCTTCTTGGCCTTTACATGGTTTTTGAGATAATTATTTCCCTGCAAAAATTTTCACGAGGCCGTAAGTGATACTCGAGAGCGCGGGAACGCTGAATTTGAATAGGCAAGGTCGAGCGTGGGCAGGGGGTCATTACCGTAAAATTTCAGCTTCGCATATTTAGTGGTTCCCGAGATAATAATTTACCCGCAAAAGTTTTCACGGGGCCGTTCGTGTTACCCGCGCGCAGGAGAAAGCTGAATTTGAATAGGCAAGTTCGAGCGTGGGCAAGGGGTCATTACCCTAAAATTTCAGCTTCGTACATTCAGTGGTTCCCGTGATAATAACTTTACCCGCCAAAACTTTTGCGGGGCCATACGTGTTACCCGCGAGTACGGGGAGGCTGAATTTAAATTTGCGGAGCCACACGTGGGTGGGGAACATCCCCTTAAATTTTCAGCTTCCTAGCTTTTGTGGTTCCCGAGTTGAAAGTTGCGGACAACACACACACACAAATACACACATAGACAACCCCGTGACAATATGCGTTTTGTGCTGCTGTTACACAGCACAAAACGCATAAAAATACAAAGGGAACTTGGAAGTTTTTTTCACGTCCACCTGGTCAAACGCCACTGCTGGCCACGCTCAGAAAATTCCAGCTCTCGAGCTGCTTCGATTCCGAAGCTATAAAACTGCCCGTGTGAAATTTTCACATGTCGGTACGTGAGATGCAGAGGGGCCGGAAAGTTCAATTTATTTTCCACGAGCACGTCAGTGAGCAGCAAGTAAAGCTACAAAATTACAGCCCTCTACATCTTCTTGGTCAACTTAAATGTGGAGTTGGCGTGATGGCAGTTTGAAATTTGACGTACGTACGTAAGACATAGGGCTGCGTGAAAGCTAAATTTGAAATCTTTGGATTAGACGTGGCAAGGAAAACCTTTGTGAAGTTACAGCCTTCTAGGTTACGCCGTTTTTGAAATCACTTTCTCGCCAAGAAGACTTTCACGTGCTCGCACGTGAGGACCACGTGAACGTGGGTGTCCATTTTGAAGATAGGGGCCCGCATGTATGTATAGACCAAATGGTCAAAGTTTCAGCTTTTGTAGGTTTCGAGATGAAAACCCGATACAGACGCACACACACACACACACGCACACACACACACACACACACACACACACACAATCCCTCGGCAATAGGCGTCATTGCACTGCACAGATGCAATAATTGGCCAACGCACGGGCTGCCCGTGCGAAGATGCGTTTTT